TACCTGTGCATTTTGTTTTTCTTGCCTAAATGTAGAACCTTACTTTTTTCACCATTGAATTTCATTTTCTTAGACAGCCCTCAATATTCAAGTCTGTCAAGATCCTTCTGTATCTTAAGCCTATCTTCTGGAGTGTTGGCTATTCCTGCCACCTTGGTGTCATCTGCAAAATTGATGAGATCCTTCAACCATACCCTCCTTTAATGTTAATCCTTCCTTGATTATCTCCTTCCTTCATCTTTTATTTCGGTTTTATTCTTGTATACCCTCAAGAATGTTTGTTCTTGCCCTAAAGCTGCTCCTAGATCTGAGTTGTTCAGAGGATGTCAAGGGCCATTCTCTTGCTTAGTTCTTTTAGTATCTGCTGCTATTTTCTCTCCTGATCTTAGACAGGGCAAACAAAGGTAAACTTAGAGTAGTACCAATGAATCAAGATGGTATCCTGAAAGAAGTAGATGACCCCCACACAATCAAGGACCTTGGAGTACTCATCTCAAATGATCTAAGTGCCAGAGCCCATTGTGACAACATTGCCCAAAAGGCATTAAGAGTTGTTAACCTAATCTTGCATAGTTTCTTCTCCGGTAATATTGAACTGCAAACTAGGGCATACCAAACTTTTGCTAGATCAATTTTTGAATACAGCTCACATGTCTGGAATCTGCACTGCATATCGGACATTAATATAATTCAATGTGTCCAGAGATATTTCACAAAAGGAGTCCTCCACTCCTCTACTCGCAACAGAATACCTTATGCCACCAGACTTGACATTTTGGGCTTAGACAGTTTAGAACTTTGCTGTCTTCAATTTGACCTAAGCATAGTACATAACATTATCTGCTACAATGTCCTACCTGTCAATGAATACTTCAGCTTCAACCACAACAACACACGAACTCACAATAGATACAGACTTATGATAAACTGTTCCAAACTTGATTGCGGAAAATACTTCAGTAACAGAATGGTCAATGCCTGAAATGCAGTACCTGACACTGTGTTTTCTTCCCCAAACCCCCAAACCTTTAACCTTAGACTGTCTACTGTTGACCTCACCCCATTCCTAAGAGGTCTGTAAGGGCCGTGCATAAGTGCACCAACATGCCTACTGTCCTTGTCCTAATATTCCCTTGTATTTGTATTCGTTTCATGTATTCATAATCATTTCTATACTTATATATGTTATTTAATTCGAGCTTGATGAAGTTAAAACTAAGAAAAGGTAGGGATTTGCATCAGAAAGAGAAGAGCCCAAACCATTTGCAAATAGTTCTCTGTAAGAACTATTTCCTTTAAGGGCCACAGAAATGGATCTAGGACAACTTGCCATAGCCAACTGATCATAGTCATCTCTCCATGGCCATCTTGCTATGGGAGAACTCACCATGGACAATTCCACGCAGGATAGCAACACAATAAATTTATCCCCCACTGTTTCTTCGGCATTATTTCCACTGACAAAAAGGGAAATAATGTAGAAGAAACAGTGGCTGATAAGACTTGTCACATTGACTTATCCCACATGGAATTGTCCATGGTGAGTTGACCTGCAGTGGGCTGGCTGCAGAAAAAATAGCCACAGTGAGTTGGCTGTGCAAGTTAGCTATGGTGAATTGTCCCATTCCTCACAGAGAGATGCAACAGAGCTATGGATACCATGCACATTTACTTATCCATAGTAAAACTGTCCCAAAAACATTTTCCTATTCATTTTCTCTGCAAACAGCTTCCATTTTTCATCCTCTTCTTTTCTGTTTGCCTTACTATAGATTTCTCTTTTCTTTTTGGATCTATTTGAGCTTACTTTATTGCTCTGAGCTACGACACAGTGCTGTCCCTGTTTTCTGCTATGCTTCCCTTGGGTTTTTTAAAGGAAGCTGGGGAAACTAAGCAAACAGCAGAACACTTGAGAGATGACTGCAGAATGAAAGACAACACACTTACATACATCTCTCTCTCTCTCTCTCTCTCTCTCTCTCTCTCCCTCTCTCTCTCTCTCTCTTTCACACACACACACACACACACACACACACACACACACACACACACATCTAAGAGCAAAGCTAAATGTCAGTGTGCTTAGGATTTTGCAGAAATTTCCTTCTGTCTTTTTGGAGGGGGAATAAGAACTCCAAAGTAATTTCCTTGTCATTTAATGGAAGAAATATATATATATTTAATTTTTATATATATATGAAATCTACGCACTGCACTCATTTACGGTACCTTGACATAGGCAACAATTTTCAGAGAAATGGTTGCTAAGTAGAGAGAGTTCATCGCAAAATCCATCAGGTTCCACCAGTCATGCACGTATTCATTAAAGCCGCCATCCCACATCTCTTTGATTTCGCCCCAAATAAAACCTGTAAAGGGGGGGGGGAATGAGGGTGAAAAGACAACTTTCAATTCTCTTAAGCCACTGTTATTGGGCACCATAGCAGAGCACATTGGAAAAGTTAATTAAAACATAACAGCAGAGAAACACCAGGGTTTAGGATTCTTTTTAATTAATTTACCGTCTTTTTTGGAGTATAAGATGCACGTTTTTGCCCCCTCAAAGAGGGTGAAAATTTGGGTGTGTCTTACACACTGAATGTAGCCCCACCCACCCTCCGGCCCCCACCCTTTGGCTTCTGCCTCCCAGCAATTTACCTCCTTGCAGCAAATGGGGGAAATTGGGCTTGCAGAGGCTGCAATAGGCTATAGCAATCCCTGCAATCTGAAACAGCGGATGATCGGGCGGCCCCTGCTGAAATTGAAAGTGAAACTTGCTGTTTGTGAGGCAAATTGCTGGGAGGCAGAAGCAGATTTTTTTTCTTGTGCTAATCAGGCTGTTTTGCTGTTTGTTGCAAGGAGGTAAGTCAATAACTATAAATGCCTATAGAATGTTCAAATTATTAGATTTATTTTTTAAAGACTGCTTTATTATTATTCTAGGCAACCTAACAAAATGAAGAAGTTTTTTAAAATGCTTGATCTGAAGAGGCCCAGTGCTATTGTATCTTCTTTTAAATAGCAGAGAATAATGTATACTTCCAGAAAGCCACATCAATTTTAACAGCATCTGTACAAGTATAGTCTGAAATGTAACACTACAAACAGTGTACATTGTCAGTACTGTTTGCTGTTTGTTGCAAGGAGACAAATTGATGAGAGGCAGAGGCAGATATTTTCCCCTTGTTTCCCCAAAATCTACGTGCATCTTATACTTTGGAGCGTCTTATACTTAGAAAAATATAGTATTTCTTTTATCAACGAGAATAAAACAGATAAACAGAAAATGAACATCTGATACTAACAAGAAGAATTTTTTTTTCTTGTGCACAGAAAAAAACAACCCTGAATGTCAAATCGATCTAACATTGAACATTAAAAAAACCCACCCTGGCTGAATGCTGAAAAGTAAATAAATGAATGAATGAATAAATCATTGATAGGTTCTCCCCCACCCCCTTACATAATGGGTCAACAAATAGTTATAAGCTTTCCCATCCTTATTTAACAAAAAATATGATATTAAATAAGCAAATATTCCAGTTGAGTAAATCTATCTAATAATTAAATCAACCCAACATGTAATCATAATATATATGTAAACAAACCAGTCAACAGATTGGCCCAAACATTACATTAATCCAGGGGTGGGTTTCAAAAGTTTTAGCAAGGGGATTCTCTGCCCGGTTGCTGGGTGGGTGTGGACATGTAGGGCATGGCTTAGTCAGCCTCCTGCCCCATGGGAGGGGGGGGGTTTGCCCTCCTCGGGCTCTGGAGGCCTTTCTCGAGACTCCGGGAGGGCAAAAACGGCCTCCCCAGACTCCTGAGACCTTCTGGAGGCCAGAAAAGGGCCAATTTCCTGCCTTCCCAAACATCTGGTAGGCCCGTTTTTACCCTCCCTGAGCCTCCGTGTATGCCCTGCACTTACCTGCATCCAAAATGGGTTGCATGGGGACTCCTGGGAAGGGCAGGGTGGGCAGGGCAGGGCAGCCAGGAGTGGGATTTGGGGGTTCTCCGAACTGCACAGAATCTTAATTAGAGGTTCTCCCGAACCCCTGCAAACTCCCAGCAGCCCACTCCCTGCTAATCTTCAAATCCCTCTGTTAACCACCTATTATTGTATTTAACACATAGAAAGTCCACAAACAGCTTCCATCCCCTTATAAAGTTGTCTAGTCCATTGTCTCTAATCAAGGCAGTTAATTTTGCCATCTCTGCTAATGCAGTCAATTTTAAAATCCACTCTAAAATCCTTAGAATACCTTCTGTTTTTCCCCGTGACTTATGACCATTTTTTACACTTACAACCGTTGCAGTGCCACCGCACACCCCCCCCGGTCACATGATCAAAATTCAGACATTTGGCAACTGACTCATATTTATGACAGCTGCCATCTCCCAGAGTAATGCAATCCCCTTTTGTGGCAAGCAAGGTCAGTGGGCAAGCCATATTCACTTAACAACCATGTTCCTAATTTAACCACTGCAGTGATTCACTTAACAAATGTGCCAAGAAAGATCATGACACGGGGGAAAAACTCACAGCAAATGTCTCACTTAGCAAAAGATGTTTTGGGCTCAATTGTGGTCATAAATTGAAGACTATTTGTATTAAGATCTGCTAGCCATGCAGTAACATTTTAGTCTGGGAAGGCTGATTTCTAAAACTGAATTTCATCCCTATGCTGGATTTTGTGTGGCTAAGTGTTCGTGTTAGAATATAAAATAATAATGGAATGGAATGGAATATAATAGAATAGAATATGGAATGGAATAAGAAATAGTATAGAATAGAATAGAATAGAGAATGGAATGGAATAAGAAATAGAATAGAATAGAGAATGAAATGGAATGGAATGGAACGGAACAGAACAGAACAGAACAGAATTAGAATTAGAGTGGAATAAAGAATCAGGAATAGGATAGAATAGAATAGAGAATGGAATGGAATAGAATAGAGAATAGAATATAGAATGGAACAAGAAATAGAATAGAATAGAGAATGGAATGGAACAGAACAGAATAGAATTAGAATATAATTAGAATTAGAACGGAATAAAGAATCAGGGATAGAATAGAATAGAATAGAATAGAATAGAATAGTGGAAGGGACCTTGTAATCATCTAGTCCAACTCCCTGCCCAAGCAGGAGACCCTATACCATTTTTGACAAATGGCTGTCAAACTTTCTTCTTAAAGTTTCCACTGACGAAACACCCACAGCTTCTGAAGGCAACTTCTGTTCCATAGGTTGATTGTTCTCACTGTCAGAGAATTTCTCCTTATTTCTAAGTTGAATCTCTGCTTGATCAGTTTCCATCTATTGTTCATTGTCTGGTCTTCGGGTGCTTGGAGAAATAGGTTAATCCCTCTCCTCTCTGTGGCAGCCCCTCAAATATTGGAACCCTGCTATCATGTCTCCCCTGTCCTTCTCTTCACTAGATTAGCCATGCCCAACTGTTCTTCATATGTTTTAGTCTCCAGTCCCCTAATCATTTTTGTTGTCCTTCTCTGCACTCTTTCTAGGGTCTTAACATCTTTTTTATAGTGTGATGACCAAAACTGGATGCAGTAGTCTAGGTGTGGTCTTACTAAGGCTTTATAGAGAGGTATTAGTACTTCACTTGATCTTGATTGAATCCATGTGTTAATGCAATTTATTGCATTTGTTTTTTGGCTGCTGCCACACACTCCTGGCTCATATTTAATTGGTTGTCCACTAAGACTTTAAGATTCCTCTCACAGTTACTGTTATTAAGCCAGGTTTCACCCAATCTATATGTGTACAATTGGTTTTTCTTGCCTAAGTGTAATTCTTCTGTTTTCTCTACTTTGAATTTCATTTTGTTAGATAGGGCTCAGTGTTCAAGTCTGTTAAGATCCATCTGGATCTTGAGCCTATCATCTAGCTTAGTATTGTCTGCAAATTTGATGTGTAATTATTTTTACTTCTGTAATTTCTATGATTTTTATCTTGAATCACTCTGACTGGTTTAATGACTGCGATTGTTTGGACTGCTGCTTTATTCTTTTTTTAAAAAAAGATACTATTTGTTAGTGTTATTTTGTTTTCTTAATTTTATGTGCACAGATCTCCAAGAAGAAATAGACTGAAAAGGAACAGAGGAATGGACAAAATACAGAAGAAATTGGAATAATATGGATAAAGACTCTTCATACCATCTCTACCCATTTCTAAGCACTGATCAACTCTGCCCATTGGAGATATGATACCCATTGGCTCAGTGGTGGGTTGCTAATTTTTTTCCTACCAGTTCACTTGGGAGCATGTGTGTGCTCAGGCGTGACATTTCTGTGCATGTGCAGAAGCGTCCGGGCGGGTGGGCGGAGCCTCCTACCACCGCTACTATTGGTTTACCTGAACTGGGCCTATTCAGCAGCAACCCACCTCTGCATTGGCTTGTATTTCATCACTGTCCCATTCGGGCTGCACAAATATTTTTTAGCTTCAGGCTAGAACGTTTCAGTCAAAAACTAGGGGATTACTGGCTAATGCCACATGGGGATAGCTTTATCTCCCTAACCTGATTTCCTTTTCAATTGATGAAAGAAAATTGGCCTTTTTTTTAGCAAAGAAAAAAAAAATCAGTGAAGTGTTTATGGATAGGAGGTGCTGCTTTGCACCTGTTTAATGATGAGATGGTCAAGAACTGGACCTGCAGCTTTTCCAACAGAGAAATGAGAGCAGTCTGGGCAATTCAGAAAAAAAAGAAACATTAATAATAATAGCAATCACTAACAGTAGCTCTCCACATTGAAATGTGTGTCTGCATTCTCAATTCCTTTCTTCTATTTCTGTCTCTCTGGAATTGCAGTTGAAAGATTGACTTCAGGCTGCCAGAAGCAGTCTCTTCCATCCTTAGAAATAGAGCCGTAGTGGGATTCAGCAGGTTCGCACCAGTTCACCTGAACTGATAGCTAACCACGCCCCTTGCCCCTCCCAGCCATTCGCCTCAGATGAGGCTGATAGGTCTGACAATGGCTTTGACTGGGCTCCTGGTGCTGGTCGAGGCTGAGGGGGTGGTGCCCAGTGGTGGGCTTCAGCCTGCTGCCGGTTTGGGCAAACCAGTTGTTAACATTCTGCACAGTTCGGAGCACTGGAAAATCATGTCACTGGCTGGCCCTGCCCCTCACTGCCCACCTCTCCCCACCTCTCCCACTCACTCCATATTGCACCTTGCCCTCCTTGGCTGATGCATAGAGTCATGCCTGCTGCCTGTGGCATAGCTGCTGCTGCTGCTCCCTGGTTCTCTCGTTTGCCTCAATCACACAGCCCAGCTGATCTCTGCCTGGTGAGCCTCCTTTGCCGATCTCTGCTCCTCACCCAGCTCCCTCCTATGCGGCCACT